CAAAACCACATTCATAACTCATTATGGTCATTATGAGTTTGTAGTGATGCCTTGCGGATTGACGAATGCACCTGATGTGTTCATGGACTTAATGAACGGAGTGTGTCGTCCGTACCTGGAAAAATTTGTCATAGTCTTTATTGACGACATCCTTGTATACCCGAGAAGCGAAGAAGAGCATGGCCAACATCTTCGTTAAGTATTACAAACCCTGAGAACAGAGAAACTATATGCAAAGTTCTCAAAGTGTGAATTTTGGATCAGAAAAGTAGATTTCCTGGGTCACGTAGTCAGTTCAGAAGGAATACACGTGGACCCTTCCAAAATAAAGGCAATTGAGAACTGGTCAGCACCCAAAACACCTACAGAAATCCGACAATTCTTAGGTCTTGCTGGCTATTATTGCAGATTTATCCAGAATTTCTCCCTAATTGCTAAACCGCTTACCACCCTAACACAAAAGGGTGTAACATTTAGTTGGGGGAGAGAAGCAAGAAACAACATTCCAAACACTGAAGTGAGCTTTGTGCAGTGCACCAATATTGTATGTACCTGAAGGGATATAAGACTTTGTAGTGTACTATGATGCTTTTAATCAAGGACTTGAATGTGTTCTGACGCAACGAAGAAAGGTTATATCCTATGCCTCGAGACAACTCAAGACACATGAGGTCAACTATATAGCACATGACCTTGAATTAGGAGCCATGGTTCTTTCTCTGAAGATATGGAGACATTACTTATATGGCACGAAAGGCACAATATTCATGAACCATAAAAGTCTTCAGCATATCTTCGACCACAAAGAACTGAACATGAGGCAATGACAGTGGGTGGAGCTACTAAACGATTACAAATGCGAGATTTGTTATCACCCTGGTAAAGCTAATATTGTAGCTGATTCCCTAAGAAGAAAAGAATACTCGGGGCGCCGAGTAAATTTGTTGACCGTGACAATCCATTCACATCTGGCCACATAGATCAAAGAAGCTCAACTTGATGCCTTGAAACCCAAAAACGTGGCAAGTGAAACACTGAGAGGAATGGATAAAAATTTCGAATTCAAAAGTGATGGAGTCTGTTGTTTCATGAATCGGATCTGGACACCAAAGTTCGGTGGTTACAGAGACATGGTTATGAATGAAGCCCGCAAAACCCGATACTCCATTCATCCAAGTTCAGAAAAAATGTATCTGGACCTTAAGAAACTTTACTAGTGGCCTAACATGAAGGCCGGGATTTCTACCTTTTTGGGCAAGTACCTTACTTTTGACAAAGTCAAGGTAGAATACCATTAACCTTTAAGGCTATTGCAACAACCTGAAATCCCTGAATGGAATTGGGAGCGGATTACGATGGATTTCATAACGAAGTTATCCAAGACAACAAGTGGTTATGATACTATTTGGGTAATCATCGATAGATTGACCAAATCCACACACTTCTTACCCATAAAAGAAACCGACAAGATGGAGAAGTTATCAAGAAGTTACATCAGAGAAATAGTTAGACTACATGGTGTGCCAATATCTATTATTTCTGACCAAGATAGTAGATTCACTTCTCGTTTTTGGCAGTCTTTACAAAACTCTCTAGGAACTAGGCTAGAAAGCGTGACAAATTAAATCCAAGGTACATAGGACCATTCGAGATTCTTGCTAGAATCGGTCCTATAACTTACAAACTTCGAATACCCCAAGAATTAAGTAACATTAATCCTACCTTCCACGTTTCTAACTTGAAAAAGTGTCTATTTGATGAGACTCTTGTAATCCCATTCTAGGAAATCAAGTTAAACAAGAGCCTTAACTTTGTGGAAGAACCCGTAGAGATTTTAGACAAGGAAGTTAAGAAAACCAAACAAAGCCGTATCCCGATAGTTAAGGTTCGCTGGAATGCAAAATGGGGACCTGAATTCACTTGGGAGCGGGAGGATTAAATGCAACATAAATATCCTCATTTGTTTCCCAAGCCTTTCTGTAATGCTATAGTCCTAATTTCAGGACAAAATTCTCTCTAACGGGGGGATAATCTTACAACCCGATATTTCAAATCAATGTAATAGTGTAAGTCAAGCATTATAACTTATTTTTAGTGAAAATAGCATCAAAAATACATTGTTCAATAATTTTTGTTGGGACGAATAAAGTAATAGACATTACATCGAGGTTTTCAAATATATAAAGAATAGTAAAATCTGAGTTGTAACGAAGAAGTTATGACCAATCAAAGATCTGTGACAAAACCGGTAAAACATTGTTCAACGTAAAAAGTGAATTTTCAATCAAATGCTTTTTAGCCTTTACAATCAAAATGAAAGTCGTAGGATACGTTAAACCGTGAATTTCCATAAAAATAACATTCAAATACGACTTCTTATAAGGAAGTTAGGATTTTTCTAAAATTCGACAAAGAAGTACACAGTCTAAAGTTTGTTTAAAGATTGAGTAATTTTTAGACAACACAACCTAAACGATTATCGAAGATCTCGTTAATAGTAACATAACGATAAAAAGATAGACAAAAACGGATGCCGAATGAAGAAGTTATGAATTTTTAAAGGACTTTTCATGTCCCGGCCTGTTAAAAATATAACTTTAAAGACAAAGTCAAAATTAGCCGACGGAGTCTAAAGGAAACTTGTAGAGCATAGTCTCACCTATGCGTAGATATAAAGAATGTCAAAAACAAAGGTCGTAGGCAAATGTTATGAATTTTTGAAGTTTGGAAAAAGGAAGTACGCCCCATGTACATGAGTACGCCTAGCGTACTCCGAAACAAGGACCAAACTCGACCACGTCGACACTCCATCACCTTCTCGATGCATGTGAGCCATGCATGTAAACTAGCTCCGACATTTGACAACTAGACTGGGCACGTACGCTACGCCCAACGTACACAACGTACGCCCCATGTACGAGAAGACTTTAGCCTCCTATAAATAGGAACCGAAGCCTTCAGGTTTTGGTGTTCATTTTCAAACCTATCTCATATATTACTCACTTTTAAGACCCTCGAGACTACCCCGACACCCCGGTAACGTATCCAAATCCCAACGACAGCCCGAATCCCCGAAGTTCTCGAAAAGCTAACCTCTCTCCTGTCGAAGTGCTACCCGCGTAAAGCCTAGCCTTTCATCAAATCATCACTTTTATCAAGTGAGTTCATAACCCTTTTTTTTATTGTTTTTACGATTTTAATGGGGGGAATACAAATTTATAACAATGATTTTTGTTACAAACAAATAGTTTCAAAATGTGTTAAAATAACATCAGGTCATCAAAAATATTTCCAGATGTAATGATTAATAAACTAATATTTTTCCCACAAATCATGTATATATATATATATATATATATATATATATATATATATATATATATATATATATATATATATAAGATTTAAAAGGGATTAGGACTGATAACTCACCTTGGGTTATTTTCCTTGTTTGGGTGCGGGCTTATAGTATCGGTTATTTGTCCAAATATCATTTAAATTTTACTTATATATATTAGTCTATGTATATAAATATAAAAGTTATTTCATTCAATTTAGTTACCCATTGTAACGTGTTGAGCAAGGGGTTAAATTCATAAACAGTTAGAACTAATTCAGAAAGTACACATAAATTATAATAGGAATAATTTATGATACATAGAACATTAATTCACGATTCAAGTATACTAGAATATACTGTTTTACAAGAAAAAAGGTTTTGATTCAAAACTAATCAAGGTTATGCAGCTTTTAAATACATGTTAAGAATACTAGTTCAAGAATATACAATCAATCATTATTTCAGGATGATTGGATTTTCATAACTATTATACACGTAACGTCTACATGCTTTTTATGAGTCATTTGGTTCAGGTTGTTTAGTTCAATAAGCAACATAGTTTAAGTCCTAACATTATAACCAAAATCTCGAGCTGGGGATCGAAACAATGTGTGTATAGATCTATATTGGGATTGACAACCCCGTACTCGGGCTGCTAGCTACATTCGGGCATACACGCCTATGAGAGACAATTGTTATCAACAATTTAAATGCCTTCAAAGCATTGTTTCAGGCCATCTAGTCTCAGTATGGTTATAATAACTCATTAAAAAGATATTAACAAAATGGTTAGTGTATAATTAACTAAACATCAGTACCTTTTTCAAACTACCAGTTTACCAAAGATACATTTTATAGTATTATACATTTGTGTTCAATAATAGCTGGTGAAGCCAGGCACACTCTCTTTTACAGTTTATACGAAAAGGATACAAAATTAGAACATTGGTTTACAAATAGAACAGTTTTATGGGATTAAAACTACTTTTCATATACAACAGAAAATATAGGATTTTCAGGAACAGTTTACATATTCAAGAAACAGAGAACATACTTTTAAACATAAATACTTATGCACTCACTCAACTTTATGCGAATACTCTCTTTTCAAATTACTTTTATTCTCAAGGAATCAGTAGACAGGTACTCCCTAAGCTTTTAAGAAGATGGAGCTATTTTGAGTCATGTCTTCTTTTGTATAACTATTTGGGTGTCAATATACATTGATTGAACACATTTAAATATTTATATTTCTTTTTAAATAAAATGGTTTTTTGTACTTTGATTACTATGATGCATGTGTTGTGATACTATAAATGAAGTCCTCCACCCCTAGATATTTCCGCCGTCTGGTTTGGGGATGTGACACATGTCATACTCTTTCTACCAAAAGCTTGGATTAACAAAGCTCCAAGACACAAGGATGACCATTCGAATGGTGGATCGCTCGACCACATACCCACGAGGAATCATTAAATACTTATTAGTGAAATTGGGTAACGTTGTTTTTCCAGTTGGCTTTGTGGTTCTCGATATGAAAGAAGATGAAGAACTTCAAACTATTTTAGGAATACCATTTTTGAGTACCGCAAGAGCATTAATTGAAATCCACGCCTAAAAGCTCACACTTCATGTTGAAGATGATGTTGTTACTTTCGATATGAGTCCTAAAGTGAGTCATGAAGCACAAAAAGAAGAAGTGTCAAAGATGGATGCTATGGAAAAAGATATTTTTGACCTAGTTGCAATTGAGAAGATGATGGGAGAAGAGTTGAGTGTTTGAGAGGAGCCCCATGGTAAACAAGCCAAACGTTTGAAACCAAGAGCCTCGATTCCTATGACATTTGAGGTAATTGCATTTACTACACCTAAGGTTCAATATGAAGAAGAGATTGATGAAATAGAAGACAATTTATATGAAGAAATGGAGATAGTTGATGAAGACATGGTTGGGGAATTAGAGGAGACTACTATGGTCAAGATGGAAGTAGACAAGGAAGATCCTAAAGAAGATGACAAGAAGCTAAACAAGACAAAGAAGTAGGGTAAAGGCATAAAGCGTACATAAGAAGACATTGCAAGTAAAACAAAGAAGGAGAATTCGAAGAAGGAATACTAGAGAAGGGTTCAAGCTTACAAGCAAAAATGGAAGGAGGAAAAGGAGAAAAGGGAGATCCCACTCGCAACTGCAATAACATAGAGTGGGAAGGAGACTTACTCATGACTCCTAAAAAAGAAGAGCTTTTCGGGAGGCAAGTTGACATTTTAGAGTTTGCATTTTCTTTTCCTTTTGATATCATTTTTGATTTTTTGCTTTATTTTTGTTTAGTTTTTAATTTTTCCTCTAACCAATTGATCATGTTTTTTCGTAGCCTTTTGATTTTATTTTGTAGTTTTAGAAAGGAAGTAAGTGAATAAGTGAAGAAGCTTAATGGATAAGAAGTCGTGCAATTTTTGAAGATCACAATCGAAGACCATGTTTTTAGACAAGTGTGCGGTTCCCACATGAGGAAGGGAAGAGAATTTTTGAAGAATATTTACTAAAAGTAAAGATTGGTAATGGTCCTAAAATTAAGAAGAGTCGGTGTATTACTTTGATCTTAAAAGGAGATTTGAGAAGTAACCACGATGTGGCCATCATCACTATGTTGTGGCCATTTATTTTATCGCTACTGCACTACAACGTGTCATCACTAGACCGTGTCGTGGTGATCTTATTTTGCTAGACCATGTACGACTTCTGGCTTTAACCACATAGTGAAGTTGCTTTCCCACAACGCGGCAGCGGTTCACCACACTTTTGAAGAATTGTTTTTTGATTTATTCTGATCCGACACATTCACATTAACAAGAAGAAGGTCTAAAAGTATTATTTATAGCCTTAGTACGAGAAGTCCAAGCTTTCATAATTCGATCTCGCCATTACTACCCAAGGGGAGTTTGTTCCATTTCTTCCTTTTTAGTTTATGTTCTTTTATTGTTTAAGCATGTAATCGGGACATTGCATCATTTAAGTGCGGGGTAGGGGATTGAATCTATGAAAAAAATAGGCATTCTACTTCAAAAATTGATTGAAAAAATGACAAGGATTAATTCATTATTAGAAAGATTTGAAATAATAATCTAAAATTGAATCTAGTTAAAAGATTCAAATTGTTGTTATGTTGAGACCTATGTTGCTAGTGTTGTGTGGGAGGATTCGTTGTGAGTTTTAATGTTTATTTGAGCTAATATGTGTTATAGTGTATTTGCGGCTTCCCTATCTTAGTGAAATCATGGAACACAAACACAACCTTGCTTAGTTTGAGGGTTGCAATATGTTTAGCATCGTGTACCAAAAATGTATCCTGAAAAGCTTATGTAGTCATTGCACCTTGTGCTAATACGTCTAACTAATAAGCGTTGAAGTTAAGTTCCCTTGCTTAAGTATATGTTTTTATAGGATTTTTAGTTTTGAGTAAAAAATGGAAAAAAAATTGCAAAAGTTGAAAGAATAAGAGTCTACAAAGCAGTGAGGATCAAGAAATATCATGAAGAAAAGCTCCAAGTTATCAAATACTCAAGAATAAGGCGAAATTATACTAGTTATTTTTGTTGTATTTTTCTTTAAATTTATAGGGTATTTTTCCATATGTATGCTTGGGGGTTTAACAAAAAATACCTTGATGTTAAGAAAGTTTTCTAGGGATGGATTCAAATGGATGCATAAAATGAGTGTTGTTCAAAAGAAGTGGGCAAGTGTTTATGAAGATTGTGGGTATTTAGGATTAGGGAGGTTCTTAGGAAAATATGGACACAAATACATGCATTACGGTCTTGGAGTAACGAAGAGGCTCAAAATGGATTTCTTGTGTGATGTTGGTAGCTAAAGTCTTGGTATGATGATAAAAAAAAGCAGTTTTGTTTGGCGGAAAGCAAAAACCAAGTGTAGGATATTCTTATATGTGAATAGTTAATTGCATATTTAATGCTTATTTCTAGCAATTTTAGCTACAATTATGCTTAATATGGATCAAAAGATAATTATTATGCTTAAATTATATTTTGTAGCGGTGAAGACTTTCTTGGGACAAAAAGGGAGCATGCGAGGAGTTGGAAGCAGGAAACGAGAGCTAAAACAAAAGAAGAAAAGAAGAAGATTGAAGACCATGTCATGGTGACATGACCACGTATTAACGAATGAAATATTTGTGATCATCATGTTGACTTGGCAGACCCGAGATTTCCATGAAGACCACATCGTGGTGTTGGTCAACCACAACATGGTGGTTAGATTTCCATAATTATAAAACTCCAGGAATTAGGTAGAAATTAGAAGCATGGATTATGTTTTCATAGGTTAACTGTGACTAAGAACCATTAGAAAACTAGAAGAAGATTGAAGTTGAAGTGAAGCTCAAGAGTGAATAAGATTTAGACAAAATTTAACATTGATCTAGTTGGTTTGTTTATTAAGCTTATGTCTAGCATATTTTACCTAGATCTAATGTGTTTTTCTGCTACAATAAGATGCTAAAAACCTTTTACTTCTGTTTTGTGGAGATGAAATTGATCCATATGTGTTGATTTTTAATTATTGGATGATTGTATTTGATTTTACTTGTGTTTGATATATATAAACCCTAACATGTTTTAGTTCTAGTTTATATTGCATATAAATTTATATTGCATATAAATTAGATTTTGTGTATTAATTGATCATATTAATTGCATGAATATATCTCCTAATTGTTTATGATAATTAGATAATTAGAGCTACGATTAATTAGATTTGAGTTGAAGTAATTAAGGCTAATAACATTAATTGTGTTTGAAGGCATAATTAGTATTAATTTGTGCTTGGTTGCTTGAATTGACCATGGGAGAGTAACTCATATCATTCATAATCCAATTGTGATATTATCGATTTGGTGATTAACTTGTGCATTATCATTGTTTTTTCATTCATAAATTGGTAGGCCTAGATATTTGAGCATAATAGATACATAATTAGTAATCAATACAATCTATCAATAAGAAATCAACAGTGAAATCCGATCTAGGTAGAAATATTCTTGTAATTCTTGAAGTTACTTTGTTTGTGTTGTTTGCTTACTTGTTAGGTGATATTAAGTTATTCTGATCTTGAAAAATCAGTAAAAAACCCCCAAATCATAGTTTGTTTCTTAATTTAAGTAGAAGTAGTTAATTTAATTAATTGAATTCCATTCTTGTGATCTGCATGCGACTTACTTAACCTATACTATAATCTGACTAGGTACACAACCTATAGGTGCGTAGTTAGTAAGAGTTTGTTAGGTTATAAATTTAAGACTAAGTAGGTATTTTGTGCATATCAACAATAAAACTATTCTAAAAGTGTAAAGCCATAAAAAGTAGTGAACTCACCATATTATGTTGACGTTTCAAAACCCATGTATTCTCAGGAAAATGAGTAGCAATATAAGTAGAGTGTCGAAGGAATTTGTCACATAGATGATGGAAGCAAGCAAATTGAAGAGCTTAAAGGGGATAATTTCTAGTTAATGAAGCATGAAATATTGGATGAAGCTAACGATTGCAAATAGAGTTAGTTTTGAAATCATCAGATTAGTGGAGATTGTAAGGTCAAACCTTATAATCTGATGAGTTAAATACACACTGACCATCAACTCCAACGCTAACACTAATGTCAACTTATGTACCTCACCTATGTCAGCGTGTGATCACTTGTACTAGTGTATTTACTCTGTATTTTTAGTTATCTAATGGTAGCTAATAGTTAACTGATCCTTAATCTTAGTTATTAGGATCAGTCTATTTACATAGATTAGATTCAATCCTTTTAATGTCAGGATTGATTGTTATTAGTGTTACTATATATTTGTGTACACAGGTTGTACTCATTGTAAACCTTAGTTCTCTTTATGAGACAATTTCTTAGTGGAAACACATTTGTTATTACTTTATTGTTTGTCACTTCTTGTTTGTATACGTTATACTAACCTACATCTAAGGATTATAGGGAGATCAAATTATGAAGGTGAATAGGCGCTCAAGTGTTTAACCTAAATTAACGAGACGGGAGACTTTGTGGTAGTGCTAGAATCATAAATATATAGGTGTGAATGTTAGTATGGACCCAATACTATCATAAGCACAATATACATAATTAGGAATAGATAGAACCATGAGGAAACATGAGGACCTGGTGCGTGGTACTCATAGTTGGAATAAAGTAGGTTTGATAGACCTTTATGTATTAGCATCTTTTACTTGTGATACCTCGTAGTCAATTAAGTTTTGTTAGATAGAAAATTTTGATGTGTGTTCGATTGTAATCCTTGATCACACATTTCCCCCGTATTTGATTCTGATTGGGATCAAGTCATTCATTATTATCCATGGTATGGATTGGCTGTCTGGAAATCACATTTAGTGTAACAACATAAATTTTCAAAACAATTGTTCATTTTTGAAAACATCAAAACCAACATTTAATATTCTGAAATCACATGTGTAACAGATGTCATTGTAACAAAATACATCCCACGATCATAAAACAGTTCCTTCGTCAGTGTGTAGAATCACGCCGGTGCCTTCCCACGGTCCTCGCTAGTACCTGAAACACATAACACAACAACTGTAAGCATAAATGCTTAGTGGGTTTCCCAAAATACTACTTACGCACATACACCTTTCCAGACCCTGACCTTCCAGTCCATGTGTCTCAGGGGACTTCCGTCCCGACTCGGTAAACCTTCCGGTCCTACTTGCGTCAACCTTACGGTCCACCTCACAACACCTTCCGGCCCATATCATATATGCCTTCCGGCCTATAACATAATGCCTTCCTGCCCATATCAAACATAGCATACATAGCACATACAAATGATTAACTTATCATATACAGCGCATACAACTCATAACATATTCGACCTTCCGGTCACACAATAAAAACCCTTTCGGGTACAGTATAGTGAAAAAACTCACCTCGTGGAAAGTCTAGAATCTCGCGTACTCGCTATCTCCAAATCCCAACGAAGACTCAACCTCGCCTAATCA